AGGGGCGGCGCTGGAGGCTGCTGCTCCTCCTCCTCCTCCTCCTCCTCCTCCTCCTCCTCCTCCCCGGCCACCGCCTCCTCCTCCTCACGAGCGAGCGACGGCCACATCGGCCTGCCACGAAGAGAGGTCCCGAGGGCAGCGGGCCCTGGACCCCAGGGCTCCACCCCCATACGGTAGGTTCGCGCGGCGGCGGCGCGCGCAAATGCTTTCGACACAGCGTCGATCGCTCAGCCTTGAATCGATTGCGGCCCCGATCGTTCAAGGCTGAAGTCCGTCGGGCCCAGTGGCGTCACCGTGTCCCTCGAAGCGTCCGCGTCGCAGAATTCAACCTTGAACGCCTTCGCCAGCGTAGGCGGCGCGCCATCGCCGCATGAACCTACCGTACTCCCCCCCAACACTGGCTTCTCATCCTCAATCGAGCTCTGACGGACTCGGGGCCTGGGAAGAAACAAGAAAGACCTACATCATCAGAAACGTTCGGAGATCCGCGCGGATTGCTTGGATCGGCGCTGGACCCTGTTCCCTTGCGCGCGGAGCGTGCCAGGGGCGGCGCTGGAGGCGCAGCCAGGAAGTCCAGCGCCGATCCATGACATCCGTGCGGAGCTCCGAAAGTTTATGCTAATGTTAAGTCGGGCGTGTCCCCCTACGGGGGGACTTTCGACGAAAAATAAAACATACCCCAACATAGTCCAAAATGGTCAAAAAATACTCCAAACATAGCCTTTTGAATATTCCCCCTGTAGAGGGACAAGCCCGACGTAAATGTTAATGCAGTTTGTGTTGTCTTCCGAGACTCTGGCAAGTAAGGCCGTGGCCGGGGCGCCCATGGTGCTCCTCGCGGTCGCTGAGGCGCAAGGGGTCGTGGGCACCACGAGTCCTGCTGGAGGGGGGTGGCTGCCTTCAGACCACCGGCTCCAGAAGTCCTCTTCTCACAAGGGGGCCATGATCACGCACCACACAGGTAGGATTAGGTCGGGCCTGTCCCCCTACAGGGGGATGTTAAACGAAAGATCAAAAATACTCAAGAGATGCCCCAAAATACTCAAAAAATAATCCCCAGACTATTCTTTTGACTATTCTTGAAGATTCCCCCTGTAGAGGGACAGGCCCGACTTAACACAAGGGGGCCATGATCATGTACCACACAGGTAGGATCAGGATCCCCTCATGGCAGATAGGTGGTCAAGGCATGGCCGCCCGCCCGCCCGCCCGCCCGCGGATGCCGCATGGTGGCGGGGCGGGGGGGCGATGGGCGGGTGGGTAGGCACGGAAATATGATGCTCAACGCGAATCGCAGTCCGCAGTTTTGTTGGCCCGCGAATGGTGGGAGGGTGTCGAAAACAATGCCGCCGACCAGTGTCAAAACGGATTCTCAAATTTTTTAGTTCCGCGGAGGGAGGGTGGGTGGTGGAACAAAAAGCAATGCTTCCCTGCGAGGCGCGCCGGCTGTAGGGTGGGTGGGTGCAACAAAAATCAGACGGATGTTCCTCGAGAGCTCGCCGTGGGGGGGGGGGGACGTAGTGCCACATGGCCCCCTGCTCTCTTCTCCGTCGCGGCAGCGAGGCGGATGAGAAAGGAATGCGATGAGGTGACTGCTGGGAGGTCTTCGTACGAAGCATTCGAAGCTGTTAAGCCTGATGAAGGGGCCGTTAAGCTGGATCTGGCCAGATCAATACCAATATTCAAAACGATAAAACTGGATCGCGCTGGATTGCACGAGATTATGAGAGACCTGGCTAGTTTTCGGCCCAGGATCTACCAGCGCCAACGCTGAATTGAATATCCCAAGAGTGGGCCCTGGCAGAGGCCTGCCGAATTGGGTGCGAGCGGAAGGGGTCAGAGGATCGTGCCGCTTCGCCGATGCATCCACGATTACACGATTCCGTCGGCGTGGAGAACATCCGGATGCATATCGAGCCAAACCGAGGATACATCGGCGATGCGGCGCGATTCTCCGACCCCATGTTCTCGGATCCCATTTGAGCGGCCTGGACCCACACTGTTTGGTCGGCGGCGTCGGAGCGAACCTGTTACGTTTGGGGCAAGCGTGTGGGTACCACGCCTGTACCCAAACATACTGTATTCCTCGACGCTTCGGATAGTGCGTTGGACGCCTTGTGAAACATGAGTGCGCGCAAGTGCAGACAGGTGAGCCCTGTGACGGCATGCCTTGAGCCTGAAGGCGCGGCCATAGTCGAGTAGGGGCAGACGGCTTGGTATTCGGAGACTGGCGAGCATAAGTCATACGTTGATTCGCCACCGTATCTCGTCATCCATGAAGATGTCCCCGATGATGGCCCGACATTGAGGATGCCCCAACGGAAAAAGACATCCAGAAGGGATGGACTGGCGAACGTAGGCTCCAACCAGCCAACGATCCGACGAGCGGATCTGATGCTTCCAAAAGCCCGAGGGCCGAGGCTTCGAGACGCCGAGGCGCCGCGAGCGCATCTAGAGATGGTACATCCGCCACCGTGTCCCGAGGCACGAAGAGGAGTGCCCTCAGCTCCACTCGAGCTCTAGGCATCGAGTCTGGCAAACGCTCACTCCAGATCCCAGAACCCCCGACGTCGAGGGTTGGCTGTCCCCCTGGGCCCTGCCACTCAGACGCCCACCTGCATTCCACTGGTTTGCTCGGCTCGGCGCTGCGCGCGTGCCAATACCTGGACCCTCGGGCGTTCCGAGTTCGACCGCCTGGCGCCTGAAACGGTGCAAGTCCAGCCCCCATCGGACGGAAGTCTCGAAACCGCATCGGCGAACAAGAGCACGTCGGACATCACCCTGGCGAAAAGACCCAACCATATGCAGTTGTCTCTTTTGTTCTGCTCTGCTCTCGCGCCTGGAGCGCCGTCGAAGCCAGCCGGCGGCGCCAGCCCACCCGTGCTCGAGCGCGGCGCCCGCGCGGGAGCAAGGGGAGGAGCGGAGGGGGCACCGCAAGGAGAGAGAAGGCAGGAGGGGGACGCGCGCTCTGGCACCGGCGGCTGACTCAGTGCCTCGGGGGCTTCAAAACCAAAAAAAGGCTGCATGATCATCGCCCCCACATCAATGATTACAATCTGGACTGGAGGTGCCGCTCGCGATCTGGGCACTTGCCGTGTTCACCGGGTACTCGTAGCAGCTCTTCCCGTCGAGCGCGCAGGTCCGCGAGACAGTCGGCGTCACTTTTTTTGCCGAGGATCACCATGCCAGTCAACGCGCCCGCGGGCAGCTCACCGCCCTCCGTGCAGGTCGGCGACCCGCCCGAGCAGCCCCACGCACGTCTCTGGCGGGCCCAGGAGCGTGGCCACAGGACAACAGCCGCCGTCGCCGAAGTCTTTGAAGGCGACCGGGCACCCGAGCTTGCCTGGGGTGGGCTCCACGATGCCGCCGAACAGCGGCCTGCACTTCTGGTCCGAGGTGCACGTGCTGGTCACCGAGCAGCAGCCCGTCCCGCACTTCACGTCCACGACGCCGCACCTCGCAGTCCGGGGAACCCACCCCCCACTCGGCGTGTCGGAGCGGCTCCGCACCTGCGCGCTGCGGCCCGCCGCCTGCAGCAGCCCCACCCCGTCGCCCTCCTCGGCCGCCGCGGCGCAGCCCTCGGGGGGCGCCGCCCCGGCCGCCGCCAGGACGAGCGCCAGGGCCGCCGAGACCCGGGTGGGGAGCGCCATCGGGCGTTCTGCCGCGCGGAGGGGGGCGGGGCGCGCAACTGCAGAGGCCTTGAGCCAAAATGGCTACGGACCCAACCAGATGCAATTGTGAATACCGCTTGCGGTGGAGCTCCCGTTGGGGCCACGAAACGTGTGAGAGCTGTGCGGCAGTGGGCGCGGTGGTGCCATGCGTGCGCTGCCACTGGGGCCTTCGGCCGAGCCCCCGTTGGAGCCACGAAGCGTATTACGAGTGGTGTGCCGAGTTGGGCGCGTTGGTGCCATGCGGACGCTGCCACTGGGGCCGTAGGTGGAGCTCCCTATTGGGCCACGAAACGTGTGAAGCGTGTGCCGAGTTGGGCGCGGTGGTGCCATGCGGGCGCTGCCACTGGGGCCTTTGGTGGAGCTCCCCAAAGCGGGTGAGGTGGTGCCATGCGAGCGCAGCCGCGGTGGCCTCCGGTGGAGCTCCCCATGGGGCAACGTGTTAGGGGTTTGCCGGTGTGGGTGCGATGGTGCGATGTGAGCGCAGCCATTGGGGCCCTTTGTGGAGCCCCCTACGCCCTGTGGGGCCACAAAAGGTGCGAGGCGTGCGCCGAAATAGGCGCGGCGGCGCGATGCGAGCGCAGCCATTGGGGCCTGCGGTGGAGCTCCCCATGGAGCCACGAAGCGTGCGACAGATGTGCCGAACTGGGCGCGACGGTGCCATGCGAGCGCCGCCGCTGCGGCCCTCGGTGGAGCTCCGTTCGGGGCCACGGAACGTTTGAGGGGTGCGCCGAAACGGGCGCGGTGGTGCCATGCGAGCGCAGCCAGTGTGGCCTTAGGTGAAGCTCCCATGGTGCCACACAAGGTGTGACAGGGGTGTGCCGAAACGGGCGCGGTGGCGCCATGCGAGCGCAGCCACTGGGGCCTTCGGTGGAGCTTCCTTTGGGAGCACGAAGCGTGTGAGAGGTGTGCCGAAACAGAGAGATTCGCACAACCGAGGCACGGATGCTAGGACGGGAGGACGGAGGGAGAGAAAGGAGGAGTGATGAGCGAGGAACGCGGGGCGCTGCCTCTGCAAAGCGAGGACCCAACACCAAAAGATGGTTGGGAACACCATGGAAAACGCGCATGGGATCGGACCAGAATCGAAATCCACCCCCGACCCTCGGGCTGCAAACGGAATCGGGAACGGTGCGCCAGGACGGAACCTGGCAACTATTGCCATGTTCGAGGGTGTGGTTCGGCTGGCCATGTGGCTCGTCCCGGAAACCCTGAATCCCCCGAAAAAGTGTACACATCCCTTGGAGGGCAAAGGTTGATTTCCGCCGGCGGAGCCGCCACGGTTTCTCTCCCGCCACCATTCCGCCACCCTCCGCCGACGAAGGGACGTCA